GCACACAGGGCCCCCCGGGCTGCACCCGCGCAGTCAGGGCCCCCCCGGGCTGCACCCGTGCACACAGGGCCCCCCCGGGCTGCACCCGTGCACACAGGGCCCCCCCGGGCTGCACCCGTGCACACAGGGTCCCCCCGGGCTGCACCCGTGCACACAGGGCCCCCCCGGGCTGCACCCGCGCAGTCAGGGCCCCCGGGCTGCACCCGCGCAGTCAGGGCGATGGCTGGCATGGGGCAGCGACGTCCCGGGGACGCCCGGGACGCGCGCATGTGGCCGGGCACGGACGTGCACACCCCGGCCAGCACTTGGGGAGGTGGGCAGGTCGACGCGGCACGCCGACGGTCCGGGGCAGAGACCTGCGGAAGGGGGCGCGCAAAGCGGAGGGGGGGGGCGCCGCGGGTCGGTCACCTGTCCCCGGGGCCTCGGGGGTGCCGGCGGCTTCCATGACAGGGGTGGGCGGGCAGCCCTCGCCGCCAGGTCTGCCCCCCGGGAGTCCGCCGCGGGGTGACTCCTCGCCCTGCTGCCCAGGCGCGGATCCGCCCGGGTCGGAGGGCACCGGGGGAAGGCATCGGGGCGGACCCAGCTAGTATTCTAATGAGCCGCGCCCCAGCGTGCGCCCGGGCGAGCTTGGGCGACCGCCGGCGGGGCCACCCTCCGCGCTCTCGGGGACGCGTGGTGTTCGCCACTCCCTTCGTTAGGTTGTGCCCTGCCCGGTGCCTCGTTCTTCCGACGAACCCCAAGGGTCGTGTCCGTGTCCCCCGTGCCCCACCCCCTGACTCCCCATTCCCGCAACTCCACTCGGCAACTTAGTTCCTCCGGGGCTAAGTCCTGTTAAACTTGTTTCCCCTGCAGCCCGGCAGGTACTAGCTGCAGGCTCTTCTCAGGTGTCCCGCTCTGCCCTCCTTCCCCAGTTTAGTTTTTTTCCCTTAACTCTTAATTCACCTTCCTCTGTTGCCCTCCTCTGGCTTAGGTGAATGTCCAGCAGGGCCTCTCGAATTGAGGAGAAGGGGAAAAATATTAGTGACTACCTCGGCAATCAATACACATCTTGTCCCACTAAACAATAAGGGGTGGGGGAGCCGGGCGCCTTTGATCCCAGTACTCCGGAGGCAGAGACAGATGATCTCTAATTTCGAGGGCAGCCTGGTCTATAGAGGTAATTTCAGGACAGCCAGGGCTACAATTAGAAACCCTATCTCAAAAAAATAAATAAAATAAATAAAAAATAAAAAAACAAGCTGACAAGGACCTTAATTAAATTCAACCTTAGAAATCTTGGCAACTCTACATATTGCCTTCTTTACAATTCTCGGAACTCTGATTTCTCTCCCCGGGGGTTCAACATCACATAAACTATTTGTATGTACTACATGTTATTGCAAGGGTTTTTTGTTTGTTTGTTTGTTTTTGTTTTTTGGTTTTTCGAGACAGGGTTTCTCTGTGTAGCTTTGCGCCTTTCCTGGAACTCACTTGATAGCCCAGGCTGGCCTCAAACTCACAGAGATCCGCCTGGCTCTGCCTCCCGAGTGCTGGGATTAAAGGCGTGCACCACCACCGCCTGGCTTTTTTTTTTTTTTTAACAGGATTTCTTTGTGCAGCCCCAGCTGTCCTGGAACTCGATCTGTAGCCCAGGCTGGCCTCGAACTCACAGAGATTCTCCTGCCTCTGCCTCCCGAGTGCTGGGATTAAAGGCGTGCACCACCACTGCCTGGCAATACTTCTAATCCCTCGTGTGTGTGTGTGTGTGTGTGTGTGTGTGTGTGTGTGTGTGTGTGTGTGTGTGTGTTCGCCCATGCCATTGCCTCCCCCTGCTTGTATGTATGTGGTGGGGGTATGGTGCTGGGAATGGAACCTAGGGTCTAGCTAGCCTGTGCTAGACATCCGTTCTGACCAGTGAACACACCCCAGCCTGCCAGCCCACACCCTGCTCTCTCTCATCAACTGTACTTCAGCCCTGCCCACCTGGTACCCTTTCCTCAGAGAGGAAAAGGAGATGAGGATACAGAATGGTGCATGACTCTTGACAAAGTGGTTTCTACAACGTTTAGTGGACCTGCTCAATGAGGGGAAATCCTAATGTGACCTGTTGACTCTCTAACCCTGGACACTCCCCATCACGGTACCCCTCAGACATCCTGCCCCCATCTCTGAAGGTTGGCAGGAAGTGAAACTCAATTGTCTGTTTAGTCGACCAGCCTTGGACCCAGCCCTGGGCCCCGGATGTGTACCCCCACCCAGAGGAGGAAGAAGAGGCTGGGAAAACAGGCTTGTTTTTTCCTTTCCCTTTGTTCTTTGTGGTTTCTTTCTTTCTAACTTTTATGATGTGGTTGATTAAAGAGCTGAGCACCTGGAACTGTAGGCATTAGACACCTCCTCCTTAGAAGTTTCTTTACTTTTCTTCTTCCACCCCCACTGACAACTGACTTGGGGTATGATGAAGCACAGATCCTAAAGGTACAATGATGATAGAGTTAAGACTGGGTGCCTCGCATTCTTTATTAGAGAAATCATATTCCAAATGATTTTTTTAACGTAGGAGTGTCTCTAATTTTAAGTAAGGACTGATTGGAAGAGTGGTTGGGGACATAGTATCATTTAAACAGTCTTAGTTTAGAGTGATCAAGAGCTGGGGAGCTTTATGTGCATCTAGCCTCTTGCTTCGGTCTCTGCTTTTGCTCATCCTACAGAACTAAGAACAAAAGTGTTTGTTGAAGCCAGGAGGGGTGGCATACACCAGTAATCCCAGCACTTGAGAGGCGGAGGCAGGGTGGCAAATTCAAAGCCAGCCTAGGCTACATACATACTGAAATCTTGTCTCAGAAAAGAAATAAAATAAAAGTGTGTTGACTGTGAGTAAGGAAGCTACATAGGAAGGGGAGAGAAAGCTTTGCCAGCAATGAAGAATCAGGGCAGTGGTGGCACACTCGGGAGGCAGAGGCAGGCGGATCTCTGTGAGTTCGAGGCCAGCCTGGGCTACAGAGCGAGATCCAGGACAGCCAGGGCTGCTCAGTGAAACCTTGCCTCAGAAAACAAAACAATGAACAAAAACAATGATGATGATGGAGTGATGATGATGATGGAGTGATGATGATGATGGAGTGATGATGATGGAGTGATGATGATGGAGTGATGATGATGGAGTGATGATGATGGAGTGATGATGATGGAGTGATGGTGATGATGGAGTGATGATGATGATGGAGTGATGATGGAGTGATGATGATGATGGAGTGATGGTGATGATGGAGTG